TATATATATATATATATATATATATATATATATATATATATATATATATATATATATATATATATATATATATATATATGACATTTCTGTTGTTTTATACCACATTATACCATAACACATTTATTGGAGTTTAAAATAAAATGTGTTTTATTGTCAATATGAATGTGTATAAACATGTTTAAATATTTGATAAAGTTTTCCATTCTACTTAAACCTTTAATTTTTTGTGGAACTGCAGTCTATACTATTAGATTCAACTTAAAAAATTATGATATTTAGTTTGTGGTTATATGTATGAATGATAATTATGATAAAAATGGAACTTTTTTAGAAATTCAGTTAACTGTACAGAAATCTGCTTTAAAATTTCCTTGTGTTTGAGAAACAAAAATAAAAATATCATGGTTAAAAACAAGTTATTAGTAAAAACAAAAATTATCCTTTGGACTATATTTGTTATTGATTTAAGAAAATACTTATTAAGAAATTGCAATCCAATTTGATATGGCTTTACATAGTTTTATTAAAATTAATTATATTGAATGTTTATGTGGTTGTTTTAAAATCTTTTGTACTGAATCAACCACCTGTTTTTTTACTTCTATGAACTAGAAAAAGTTATTGCTAGTTCACATCTTTATATTTAAATAACAAAGTCCTTAGTAATTAGTTTTCTATTAATTTTAAAGATTAAATAATTTTATATAGTTAGCATCAAAATGCAGCCTGTTTAATTGTTTTTCATGCAATTCTTCTGGAATTACAGAAAAAAATGACAATGATGTAAATTGTAATAAGGTATTCTGCTTTCTCTGCTTGTTTTTTTAATATGTTTTTTTGTTTGTTTAGTATGTTTTGCTTTTGTTTTATATTTTGTTTGTTTTTATTTTCTAATTATTATTTCAATATACTATTAATTTAACAAAATCACTAGTTTATAGTGTACTATCAATTTTAAAGATTATTAAATACTTTTTTATAGTTAATGTCCAGATGCAGCCTAAGTAATAGTTTTTCATGCATTTCATCTGAAATGCATCAAGAAAATGACGATGATGGTAATTGTTATGAGGTATTCTGCCATGTTTGTATTTCAAAAATGTTTGTATCTCTAAATTTTTTTTTTTAATAACAAAACTAGCATTAAATTTTTTTACTTTTAAATAATAAAATAAGATGTCAGTGATTTTCGTTTTTTTAGCTTTTATACTTTAATAATACAAAAAGTAATATAATTATATTACTTTTTGTATTATTTTTCATATTATATACCATGCCATTATGCAATCTAGCAGTTAAAAATAAATTTATTTTATAATATCACTGGTTCTTTTTTTCATCTTGTTTTTTTTATAATTACATTGATTAGTTAAAGTAAATGACTATAATTTGGATATAAAAATAAATTACAAAATGATGTTAGCGATGTAAAAGTATAGACATTTATGATAACATGTTAAACTAAAGTTTTTTCAATCAAATTATAATAATTTTTTGATTTTAGATAAATTCAAAATCATATTTTTTTATTGAATTGTTTTTGTTTAACTCACTTTAGGATTTATTTTTTATATACTTTATTACAGACGAAGCAGATTAAAAATGTAACAAGTATTTTGTTCAAAAAGTTTTTTTTTTTTTTTTTTTTAAATAAGTCTTATCAATAAATAATTTATAATTTAAATTTTTAAATTGTTTCTTTAAAAATAGAATTAGAATATTATTAAAAAAGAGAATTTTAAACAGTTTTACAAAAAATGTTTAAGGTTGATATTCTAAGGTTTAAACTTTTTTTTCCTCTATGATTAAATTAATGTTTAAGAGGTCTACCATGTAGTCCGTTGTAGGTGTACAATTGCTATTTTTAACACACAAAAAAATTAAATGTCAAGTCATAAAAATGAAAAAGAAGTTCACAATAAAAGTAAAACAAAAAATGAATTTCAAAAATGGTTATTATCATTATTATCTATCCATATTATCTTGTAATTGCTTTTCAAAAAACATAACTGTAAATGCTCTTCAAAAAAGATGTCCTGCTGCCTTGTAGGATATAACTTTTTAGGCAAAGGCTAGGAGATGCAAACTCCGACATAAAACACCCCCTGCCTTGGGGCTCTTGGTTGAGTAAGGGCTAGAGATGGTGTCTCGATAAAAATACTCATCTTGGGCAGATGTTAAATGCATCCAGCTGCTGTCTTGTAGAAGGCCTCTTGGGCAGAGACTTAAGAGGTAAACAGATTCTATCTGTTGACCAACCTTGCACCCCTTCTCCATCTATTAGGCTGGCGCAGATGTATTTTTAATACATTGTTTCCAGTTTAGGATGTTGAACGCTGGATCTTCTTGACTTGATGCATGGGTTTTGCTTGTGTCTCTGTTTTTATGGCTAGACAACTCATTCTATTATCTCCAAATGAGGGTACAGCTCTAAAACTCAGTTTTATGGTTCTGAGGCCGGCTGGTAGTCAGGTTTCCCGAACTCTGTGGTAGCTCTCAGAGAGGCTGATTCCATCAACAGTTGAAAAATATCAGAGTACTAACAGTGCCATAATGCACATGGATGGTGTCTCTGTTTGTACTTTTGGTGTGCATTGCCAAGGCCACATTGGAGCCCTTTGTTACGACTTAGGGTTTATTAGTGGAAATTAAAAAGGCAATTGCTTGGGCTATAAAGCAGTGCACTGAGTACTATCTATGTTTTGAGTCAAGTTCTTTAACAAATTTAAAAATGAATAAAGTAACAAAAACTATAAAATACAAATAACCACAGTTATCACCAAGTTCGCTAAACCTATCATTCACCAATATTCGTGGTCTTCGAAGTAACTTTTCTTCTGTTGAGTCTTATCTCTTGCAAAGTTCACCAGACCTACTTGCTCTTTGTTAGACTAATTTAAGTTCAGCTGTCTCATCTTGTGATCTTAGTGTTGATGGTTATCTTCCTTTAATTCGTAAAGACTTCAATAGTCACATGCTTGGCCTAGGCATTTACATTCGAAAGAATTCACCCATTTTTCGGGAAACTAGGTTTGAATCCACAGACTACTCTTTTATGTGCTTTTGTTTAGCACCACTTCACTCTATCACCTTTCTCTTTGTTCTATATCGCTCTCCTTCATCTCAAGACTGCACTCTTCTTGATGTTATTTCTAATTATATTGACCAAGCCCTCATTCTTTATCCATCAGCCAATATTGTTGTTGTCGGTGACTTTAATGTTCATCACAGTGGCTTGGCTCTAGTGTCAGTGACTCCGTAAGGCATTGAGGCCCACAACTTTTGCCTTTCTCAATCCCTAACTCAAATAGTCAACTTTCCAACTCGCTTTCCAGACAACCCAAATCATTTACCTTCTCTACTCGACTTATGTCTTATTTCTAATCCTAGTCAGTGTTCAGTTTCTCCACACTCACCCTTAGGTGCTTCTGATCATGGTTTTGTCTCTCTAAAACTATTATCTCATTCTTCTTTATCATCAGAATCCCCCTATCATTGTACATCTTACAACTACCTTAAAGCTGACTGGGACTCTTTCCGTGATTTTCTTTGTGATAGCCCCTGGGTAGAAATCTTTCGTCTTCTTGTTGACAAATGTGCTTCTTACATAACTTCGTGGATTCAGGCTGGCATGGAATCCTTTACTCCCTCTCGAAGATTCCAGGTCAAGCCTCACTCTTCTCCATGGTTTTCCTCACATTGTGCTGCTGCAATTGCTAATCGAAACCATTACTTCCATATCTATCAGCAAAACAATTCTCCGGAAAACAGACGTCTGTTTATTACTGCTAGGAACCATTGTAAAAAGGTTTTGTCTAACGCCGAAGCCCGCTATTCTCAGATCATGAAACCTCGTATTTCATCACAAAAATTAGGCTCTGGTGACTTCTGGAGAATCTTTAATAGTATCAATAATTAGGGCATGTCTGTAAATCCACCTCTTTTGTACGGTTCAGACTTTGTCACCTCACCTAAAGACAAAGCTGAATTGTTTGCCAAGAACTTTTCATCAATATCATCTCTTGATTCCACTAGTTGCGTTCTACCTGGTATAGCCGTCAAACAGGTTGATCCATTGCTCGACATCCGTATTACTCCAGCTTCTGTATCTAAAGTGATTTCCTGCTTAGACTCTTCTACAGCTTGCGGCCCGGACAACATACCTGTTATAGTCTTGCAGAAGTGTTCTCCGGAGCTGTCGTCTACCCTTTCAAAACTATTTAAAAAGTGCTTATCAGAGTCTTGTTTTCCAGCCTGCTGGAGAGCAGCATCTGTTATCCCTATTTTTAAAAATTCTGGAAAGCGATCTGATTCATCTAACTACCGCCCCATTAGTCTTCTTCCTATCATAAGCAAGGTTTTTGAGTCTTTAATTAACAAACACTTAATCTCTCATCTCGAATCTCATAACTTACTTTCTGATCATCAAAATGGATTACAATCTTCTTGTTCTACGGCCGACTTGCTAACAGTAATAACCGATAGGTTTTATCGCGCATTAGATAAAGGTGGAGAGGTTAAGGCCATTGCTCTTGACATTTCTAAGGCATTTGATTAAGTTTGGCATGTTGGTCTTCTCCATAAGTTTTCTTCTTACGGTGTATCTAGAAACATCTTAAGGATTATCGAATCCTTCCTTTCTAATCGTAGTATAAAGATTGTCCTCGATGGGCAGCACTCTTCTTCTTATTCTGTAACCTCAGGGGTTCCTAAAGGTTCAATCCTTGGCCCTATACTCTTTTTAATTTACATTAACGATCTTCCAGATTTTCTCACATCTAAGGTGGCATTGTTCGCTGATGATACTACCATTTATTCTTGTCACAATAGGAAGCCAACTCCCTCTGATTGCTTGCAGGGGCATTTGAGCTTGAAAAGGATCTCACTTCTGCTACAGCCTAATAACATACCTAGTATAAAACCAAAATTAAATGTTACTGATAAGACTATAGAAAATGTTTTTGGTAATTCATTATATATAAATTTCTAATCTAAATTTTGTTATTTTAATTATCTCTGATATCGTTTTCTAAAGATAAAGTTAAATGGAACAAGTAAATTATATCTTTATTAAAATGTAAATTAAAAAAAAAGTATAAGATTACCTTGACATTATCTGATAACTGAAAGACTCTATACATTTCACATACATCAATACCTATCAGGAGCAAAAAATAAGGTCTCTAACCTTTTAAAAACTATGATAAATCAAAACAAGATTAAATATACAGACCAAAAAAAAACGCAAGCAACTATATAAAAAAAGTAATTTTACAACTTATTTAAACTTACAATGTCATACCACTTGGCACATGTTTAAAATAGCTAATTCTAAAATAATAGTGAATATAGAACATAGTAGAATAATAGTTAAAAAAGTGTGATATAAACTTAGTTTTAACTAAACTAAATAAATATGCATGCCAAAAGAAATGCAAGTTAAAATACAATTTTTTAAATTTGCTAATTCAAACTTACAGTGGAATATCACAAGTCACGTGTCTAAAACAGCAAATTCTAAAATAATATAAACACGCCAGATATAAACTTATTATTATTATTATTATTAATAGTTCAAACTCAATTAAATAAATATGCACACCAATAGAAATGCAAGTTACAATATAAATTTTACAACCAATTTAAACTTACAGTATGACAGCTTATACCAAGTGTCTAAAATAGCAAATTCTGAAATAATATAAACAAGCCATACACAAACTTAGTTGTAATCTAATTATATAAACATGAACGTCAAAAGAAATGCAAGTTAAAATATAATTTTTTTAAAATTTACTAATTCAAACTTATAGTGGGATACCACATGCCACATGTCTAACACAGTAAATTCTAAAATAACAAATTTAAACCTAGAATGTGACACTAAATGCCGTGCCTCTAAAGCAGCAAATTCTAAGATAGTATAAATAACTCATATATAACTTTAGTTGTAACTCAATTAAATAAGCATGAATGTTAAAAGAAATAGAAATTCCAATATAAATTTTTTAATTTTACAACTAGTTTTAACTTACAGTGGGATAGCAAATGCCATGCGTCTAAAACAAAAAATTCTAAAATAATAGAAACACACCAGTATAAACTTAGTTTATGATATTGGATGCCACATGTTTAATTTGGAAATTAATAAAAATTGCAATTTATAAGAGCATATTAACTAGCCATGTAAACTTAGCTGTAACTAACCTAAATAAATATACCTATCAAAGATGTTAACAATTTTACAACTGATTTAAACTAATATGGTTACAAGTTACTACATGTCATATGACTAAAATATAAAGTTAAAAAAGACTATAAATAATCCATTTAGTCTATATTATAGAAATAATTGTTCAACTAACCCTTTACTACTAGTAAAGGATTAGTTGAACTTTTATTTCTATAATATAGACTATATGGATTGCATATATTCTTGCATAATTTTCTAGATTTAGACATGTAGTAACTTACCATATATGATATGTATTAACTTACCATATATGTTATTATATATTGTTTAGTAATACTAATGGCTTTTAATTTAAAACAAAATAAACCTTATTGTTAAATTTTCTATATAAAGCTTTATATAGAAAATTTAAAATAATCTAAATAACCTTCGAAATTACAAATAACAGAGCGTAATTTAAATTATATTTATCCATTTGCTTTGTCTACTAAATGTAAAGCTTTTTAAAAAATGGCATATTACACTTACTGCAACCAACTTTTATTTACGATGTAATTGTAAATGTGAGAAAAACGCATTCAAAACTTTATCATTTTCAAAATAAAAAGCCATAATATACAGAAATTTTTTTTTTGACCGATTAGAATATTTAATCCGTTGAATTAACAAAATTTTAAAGAATCCGTAAATAGTTAATTTTACTCCATTAATTTTCTGGTTTTTGGTAATGAATTAATCCGTTAATTTAACGAAAAAGAGCAATCCGTTACTTTTTTTAACGGACTGTTTTTAGACTGTTTTTAGAGAAGAGCAATATCATATTTTTCTCAAATAAAGCATGTTCTTAGAAAGGTTTACCACCTCATATTATTAAATCAAAAACAATTGATCAATTTAAGTTGATAATTCAGACTATTGCAAAAATTATCCATTAAATTTTTTTGTTGCAAATTTTTTTATAATTGGTTCATTATCATTAAAACAATTTTTTATGAAATTCTTTTTAGTTAAAATATATTGAGCAATGCACACTTAAAATATTATAATGTTTATAATATTTTAAGTGTGCATTGTTCAATTTATTTAAACTCAAAAGAAATAAAAAGTTGTTTTGTTGATAAATTATAATGAATCAATTATAAAAAAAATTTGCAGCAAAAAATACAGTCTAATTTTGATTACAATGAAGTGTAATCAAAATCAGATATTTAAAAGTAAAAAAAAAAACATGATAGTTAGCTGCAAAAATGAAGTGATTTAGGACCAACCTTATTAATTTATTGTTGGGTTTTATAAAACTTATTATTGGGCTTAATAACCCCTATAATAACATTTGCCACAACTTGGCAAATGTTATTAAGTGGTCGTGGCATCAGGGTAGAAATTGCTGATTTGGAGGATCTTTTGTTTTATTTGTGTTTTTATCACATTCAACACATGTTAGAGATTTGCAATTTGCTGTAACTTTTATCTTGATTCTAGTTTTAACATCAGCTTTCAGAATTCTTGTTGTTAGACTAACTGATATACTAAATTATTTGCAAAAACATTCCTGCAACCTGTTTATTAAGTGCATTCTCTTGTCACTGATTTGTTGTAACAACATAACATGACTTTTTCTACCTTTATTTAATGGACCATTTTTATTAAGATTTCTTTTTAAAGACTCAAAAACTGACTAATATTCCTAAGTGTTGCTTCAAATCATCAACTTAACTGTTGGTAGAAGCAGTCAAAAAACTTACTTATAAATAATAATCTGATATTTCATAATGTATATCACACCACTTTCTTTAATGACATTATAACAATATTTAACTAATATTTTCCAATATATTTTTTTCTGATTCATATAATTTGATATTTTTTAAGTTATGTTTTTTTCTGTACTCTGATCTGTTCTGTTTTTTTTCCTGCTCTTTAACTGTCTCACCCTTCTTCTTGTTGGGAGTTTGCATAAAAAAATTTGACATTATTGTCTGTATTCATAGTTAAATAATATTAAAATTTGAACACCCCTTATGTAAATAGATCAATACTAACATAAACATTAAGGTTCTAAGTATGTAGTTATTGTAATAATTTCAATTACCAATTGCCAATTGCCAATTTTGTATTATTGTATTAAAAAAAAGTGTCATTCTTGTTGGTTTTTTTTAGGGTGGTCTTGTACAGGAAAATGGTACAGGTATGCAAATGAAACATTGTATTTTTTTTTCTTTTTTTTTTCTCATTTTGAAATGTATTTGATTTAAAAGATTTTTTTTAAATACAATGGTGTGCAAAATAAAAATAATAAGCATAAAACAAAAGAATCCCTCAGATATTTTTAACTTCACTATTTTGTTAATACATTACAGCAAACAACACAATATACTTATGTATATTGTGTTGTTTGTTGTGATGTATAAACAAGTTTGTGCATGTATTTATTTGTTTTTTCATTAGTACTTTAATTTAAGGCGTGCAAAATAATAGGTACTGTATATTTAAATTGAATTATTTTCAATTCTTAATTTATTTAGTTAAAAGATTTATTTTATTAACTGTTACTATGAAATTTATTGAATTAAATAGAAAATAACTATTTTTTAAGGAAAAATTAAATGTCATTTCATATACATTGTTCAGAAGATAAAAGAAATTAAGTTAAATATTTACAAAACCAGGGTAGGACACAAGAATTTCAAATTGAATAGACTTTTTATTTAATATGGTATGCAATGCAATTGAAAAAGAAAATACAGCCGAAACGCGTGGTCTAAAAAGGAAAATCTCTAAAAGAGATGAGGAAAATATTGTTATTTATTCAAAAAGAAATCCTTTTGCATTGACAACAGAAATAAAAACTGCTCTTGACCTGCAGTTTGATGCTTTGACAGTTAAAAAAAGGCTTACTCAACAACATGTTAAAGCCAAGGTATCAAAGAAGTAACCGTTTTTATCACCAAATAGTATTAAAAATAGTAAAGATTTTGCTAAGGAGCATGTGGGCTGGCCATCTTCAAAGTGGCAAAATATTTTTTGGTCAGATGAGATGCACTGAAAAAATGTCAGAGGACCAAAATTAAAAGAATATGAATCTAGATATACCGTAAAATCAGTTAAAAATTGTGGTGGAAATATTAAAGTATGGAGTTGCTTTTTATGTTATAGAGTAGGCCCCCTTTTTTGGATAAAAGAAAGTATGAAAAAATGGATTAAATTAAATATGACCAAAGAAATATATTTAAATATTCTGCAGGATGTTATTCTACCATTCGCAGATAGGCTATCAACAAGATAATGACCCGAAGTATACTGCAAAGGTAGTAAAAGTTAGTTTTGTAACTAGAAAATTTGGATTTTGAAGTGGCCTGCCTAATCACTGGACAATTCAAGAAAAAATCAAATTACTAGAAACTAATTGAAAAAAACTGCTTTATAAAAAGCATACGCTGGAAAACATATTTCCACTTGAACAAAACCGAAACAAACACACAAGAACATTTTCGTTTAAAAACAAAAAATTAGAAAACTTTAAGACAGAGCGATTTAACTTAGTAAAATTAATAAAGTTTAAAAAATCTTAAAGTCAATTTCAAAAAAATTAAAAAATTAACAAAACAAAAATTAAATCTAACCCCAAAATCTTAATAATCGCCAACAAAACCAACAACATTTACCAATTACCACCCAAAGATTACTCCAAACTATTAAAAGAAAACATCAGAAAAACATACAAAAAAGCCCCTAAAAAAACTAGAAAAGTCAATAAACCTCGAAACAAAAAGCATAGCAACTAAACTAAATATAAACAAACAAGTCAATATAATTTGTCCAAGCATTTATTACTTAAAAGACTACAAGAATAACTTTTATAATTGAAAACTTTGCTGCGTATAAAATCTAGCAAAAAATGAACTCAGCATTGTCAGCAAAACATATCTAGATAAAATCAACAAGGAAATCAAAACTAAATTAAAACTAAATTAATGGGAAAACACCGCTGAAATAATCAAATGGTTTACAAACATAAGCGACAAGCACCAGTGTGTGTTTATACAACTTGACATCAATAAATTTTACCCATCCAACACAAAAGACATACTAAACAACACTGTAATATTTGCAAAACAATACACTGAAATCAGCAATCAAAAAGTTAGGGACATTAATCATTGCAGAAAATCCTTATTATTTTTTAATGATGAAATATGGAAAAAAAAGGCGTAAAATGATTGTTTTTACTTAACAACGCGATGTTTTAACGAAGTATGTGAAGTGGTGGATTTATACATTCTAGACTCTTTATTCAAAACCATGACTAAAAATGATATAGGTTTCTACCAAGATGACGGATTGATGGTAATACACATAAAAACTGCCGCACAGTTGAGAAAATATAATTGACACATTAAAAACATCAGATTCCAAATAAAGATTCAAATCATCTAAACAGATTAATTTTCTTGACGAAACTTTTAATCTTTAAAAAAACTCCTTCCAACCTTTTAAAAAACAAAGTGACAAACTACTCTACATTCACACTGAATCAAACCACATGCCCCAAGTCCAGATCTCTCTCTCCATTACTGATCGACTATTGCAAAATTCTTTCGATTAAAAAATATTTAACTCATCAAAAACAGAATACGTAGAAGCACTTAAAC